TTAGACTATGGCTCACATGAAGCTGTCCAAGATTGCGGCTTCCGGTCTCTGCTTGGGAGCGAAGTCGTGCAAGAATGCTGTGCTTAACCTCAAGGCTGAACTTTTCAATGAATGACGAAGGGTTTAGGGTTTAGGGTTTGGTGTTTGTCGGAACAAAAACCGCAGTGACGATGACAAGAGATAGAACTACTCAAACACAGGCGAGAAGAGGAGATACACTACCAGTGATGATCATGGCGAAACTGCTAGTTCATCAAAATCCGCCCCGTGTCGTCAACAAAGAGAGCCCCAGAAACCCATCAGACTGCCCCGCACACGGTGGATGCAGGAAAGCTTGTGCAACACTGCAGCTTCAAATCATCAAAAGCTAGATTAGGCACCTTACGTGGTGCCATCTTTCCTCGATGAACCGCAATCACCTCCAGCTAGTAATGCACAACCGAACCCCCTCATAAGCAATGCTGCAAAGCTAACACAATTATGCATATACATGTGCATGTACATCTACACATGTACACGTGCATACATGTGCGTATACATCTACACCTACATGTCTATGTTCCAAGATAACTATATACACCCCCGAACCCTATATACACGCCTAAACCCCAAACCCTAAAACCTTAAACCCACACAGATATGTTCAGGCAAACCAGCACCTTGCCTTGACTAATCGCGCTGCTCGCGCAGCTGGCGGCAGGTTTTGGAGCGCTGCGTCAGCCAGGTCCTCCAAAAAAATGATATGCATAAACATACTTTTAGAATGCCACAGAATAACATGTTGTACATCGGCGGGCCAACAGTTTTGAGCTACTTGACCGTTTAGGATGTATACTGGGGTTCAAAAATATTCCGGAGTAGCGCATGGGTCCTGGCATTGCTAGCGGAGTAATGAATACGTGGCTTTTGAAATGTTAGCTGTGTGGGAGTGGGTCGAACTTTGGGCCCGGCACAGCATTATATGTGTTTGAAGATGTTCTAGTGTATTAAGTTGTGTATGAACGTAAAAGTTTCTCAAAGACTGTGGGCCTTGTTTTCTTCGGGAATTCTGATATGTGATGGGGTAGACGGTGGCCCCCCATCTTCAAAAATCCTCACAGAAACCCCTAACCTAGACCCTAAACCCTCAAACCTTAACCCTAAAACTTAAACCCTTGCTGAATCCTCCCAATCTGCGCCTGAGCCCGTTGTTCGAGCTCACTGTCTGCCACTCCTGAACGCGCGGCCTGCTGCAGGGCGGTTTAGGGTTTAGGGTTTAGGGTTTTATCCGCCTGCGCCTCACTGCTCTTGGACGGGATGGGCCCCTGAGGAAGCGCGGCAAAATCAGCAAATCTGCTCAAAATTATGACCCTGCGGCCTCCTCGTCAGACGACAGACAAACAGCTTCAACCGAAAGCCGAGCAGGCGTTGCAACAGCCTCAACAGCTCCGCTGAGAGGTCTGAGTGCACACATCTGAGGGTTTCCCAAAATCAGGGGTACCCTTTTGGGCGAGGATAATAATATTTTTGGGTCTATATTTGGGTCCCCCCATTTAGGGAAACTACCATCTACTTCCTTTTGGAGCAGCTGCCTTGGTCGTACCACTGGCACCTGCACCACTGCATGGCCGCCCGAGAACTACATCCACAGTATTTGAAACAAAAGACCGTGGGATCGAGCCTTCTAGGGCTGGTTGCTCAGTGCTAGCTGCCTGTTGGCCCTGGCAAATTCACAGTTCAGGCTTCTGCGAATTCAATATACTATAATGGTGTCCATCTTATTTTCCATTTTCCCAATATTACCCCAATATACTATATAGTAGCATTCTACGAATTCAAGCCGCACACCCTTTTGTTCTGGAGGGCCTTCTCCTCTTCTGCATCCAAATCGATGCAGCTTGGCAGCAGCACAGGCTCCTTCAAATCAAGCCAGACTTTCCTAATGCTGAGTCTGGTTACCCTCCCCAAACTAGCATGGAATCCCAGACAGGGCACTGTAAAAACTATTCGCCTGCTAAACAGGAATGCTACATGGGGTTCCATGCTCGTTTGGAGAGGTGACGCAACCTTTTTGCAAGGAACTGGTTGGTGTTTCTCAAATTTTGTTGGGGGGGGGGAAGTTAGGAATATATCGGATGATACAGGGTATGGGGCTCTCCCTTGAGGGCTACATGAGATCTATCTAATCCTGGAATAATCCTCTGAAAGTTCAGATCTAGCCCCCACGGACCCCCTTGTTTTGAGAAACACCCAAGCCGAACGGGGCCAGCCTTTGCAGCCTGAGGTACGTTCTGCTTCTTCCTTTTCTTTCGCTTTGGCTGGGGCACCAGCTGTTCCTTCAGTTGATGGGCAATTTCTGTGGGGCATCAAATGATATGAACCTACAAAAACCCCGCGAATTTGCTACATAGGGTCATGCAGGATTTAGTCCATCAGCAGTCTGTCAAGACAGGTAGGTGATGAAGACAGGAAATTAGGATGTGCTTAAGGGGGGTGGTCCAAGGGGGGTAGGCACTCCCTAAGCTTCCCTAAGGTTCCCCAAGGCTCCCTTGTAGCCTCCCCCCTTGAAGCACCCCCCCCTTTAGGATGCTATAATAAACCCCTAATACCACATCCTAAACAAATAACCCTAAACCCACACCCCCTTTTAGGATCCCATAAGGCCCTAAACCCTGAACCCTAAACCCTAAACCCTGTACGACATTGCCTTCAAAAAAAAGAGAGCTGGGTGCGCCTCCTCTGAGTCGATGCATATCGCCTCTGAGTCTCTTCCCAGACCCCCTAAAGGATCCAAAAAATGGAACCCTCCCTAAAGGAAGGGTTTAGGGTTTAGGGTTTAGGGATTAGGGTTTAGGGCTTAGGGTTTAGGGTTTAGGGTTTAAGGGCTAAAGGATCCAAAAATAGAACCCCCTAATAATCCCCGAGTTTCCCCAATGCAATACTGGGTTCATATTGGGGGCGGTTCCATTTTTTGGATCCTTGAGGGGGTCTGGGCCTCCGCTTCCGAGGCAAGGGTTCAGAGCTTCAGGGCTTTGGGCATTCTTCAGATGATTGAATTTCCTGAGGGTACCTTTCGTACTGCGGAACCAGAATTGCGACACGTGTCTGCTTTTAGCTACGAGTTCGAAAAAATGAGGAGGGCAAGAAAACATGCGCTAAACGTTGTTGGTTCCCGAGACAAGGATTGGACCTCTAATTTTTGCGCAAAGTAACCTCCTCTGAACAAACCTGGAACACCTCTTTTAGAGGAACCTTGTTCTTTGTCAGGCCCCTGGTAGGGCCCATTCTGCGTGGGGGAGGGTGCCGGAAGGACGGAGTAAGTAGGCTCCGTCGGGGTTCGGTGATCTGGAACATTCAGATACGCTGGCCTCCGCAACATCGGGCATCAAAGTCCTGTTGGCAAGTGGCGGGCCAGCGTCACTTGAAAGCAATGGGTGTTTGAGGATCTTGGTTGCAAACGCAGCAATCCTGAATCTTTGGATTCCGCAAGTTAAGGCCTTCTGGATACCTCGAAAACAGTCTACTCCATATCCTGGGAAGGTTGTGCGTACACCTATGCTAGTGCCTCTCAAAGGGCCCTCCGATGCTGCCCAATATGATCCTGAAACCCTTGGAAACCCCAAGCCGCAAGCCCGAAATCCAGAACCCCAAACCTAAAAGCCTAGACCCCAAACCTGCCAAGCTTGGAATCGGCGTGACATGCAACCTGGACCCTAGCCCTCAAAGCTTCATAAGCTGAACTCTGCGGTGGAAAGGCAAGAATGCTGCAGGTCCTTAGTATATCAGAATACCATAAAGACTGATTATAGTAACTAGGAGTATGCAACAGTCTTAGTAGCAGCAATACCGCAAAAGCCCTTTACGTTTACCATGAGACTTTAGCACCCTCGACCCCAAAAATGTAGCGGGGCTTCTGAGAAAATCTGTGGCGCCAGGGACTTGGGAATATAACAACCCAGACCCCCTAAAGGATCCTCCCCTAGTTTCCCCAATGTAGTACTGGGTTCATATTGGGGTGGAGCCATTATTTTTGGATCCTTGAGGGAGTCTGGGAAGGGGATGACAAAAGCCCGCATCAAGACCTTATGGAGCAAAATTGAGAGAAACTCCCGAGCCCGAACTTAGTGACGGAGCAGAGGCTGATGCCCACGCGCTGGCGAAGGCGCCAAGTCAGCTTGCTCAGGGCTGTCGGGCTTTTGGGCAGGTTGACTGGCAGCAACTCCTTGGACCGTTCTGGGATATCTCCAGCTTGCAAGGCCTCCACAATTTTGGCATTGGCGGCAATGATGTCCGCATTGATGGTGTTCACCATCTCGTTCCAGACTGCGGCCACGGTCCTCACTGTCTCCTCGAGGTACGCGGATGTCAGCTCCTCGCCGAGCGCCAGCCTCATCATGAAAAGTTCTTCCACTGCCTTCTCGAGGCTTTCTGGAAGGCAGGGGAGCGCACAGTCGCGCTGGAGGCCCGCTTGCCCTTGTGCGTGGTCAGCACCCCCTTCCTTTTCAGGCCCCTTAATATAAACAAAAATTGGGCCTTTCAGGGGCCTTCCAGGGGCTTCGCAGGGGCCTCCAGGGCTCCGGCGGGTTTTGAAGGCCTTCAGGGGGCCTCCAGGCTTCTCAGACCAGACCGCCAACAAGGCTTGCCTGAAGAACCTTTTCAAGGGCCTAGCAACCCCCCAGACGTTTTAATGACCTCCCAGACCACTCAGGTTTGCGTCGCTCTCCACACACTCTTTTCCAATCTGCGGTTGGCTTCACTTGTCATCTCATCATGATATTTCTTGGGACTTCTTCATGCATTTGGCAAGATCCACATGTGGAGGCCGGCCACGGCCTCCGCTACCCCTATCCGTTTTTCGAATCCTAGAGCGCACCATCTGAGAATGCCGGTTGCTGCGAGGTAAACAGCAGAACTGGGGAGAAGAGAAATGAGGAAGCAGCCCGTTACCATCATGATGCGTCTTGGGACTTTTTAAAGCATTTGGCAAGATCCACGCGTGGAGGCCGGCCAAGGCCTCCGCTACCCTGATCCGTTGCTGGACTTTTTTTTGCTTGAAACTCAACAATGCGCCATCTGGGAATGCTGGCTGCGTGGTGAACAGCAGAACTGGGGAGAAAGGAAAAGCCCCCCTTGCTCGGGTTTGGGGGGGTAGGAACCCTAAACCCTAATTGAGAATAGTTAGGGTGGTCGGGGTGGGACCTCTGGCTATGCGAGCGTGCGAAGAGTGGGTGCGCTCCTGACTCTAATATAGAAGCGCACCCACCGCGCTCACACTGATACACACCCTAAACCCTAAACCCTAACCTTAAATAGTAGTTTCCATTTTTTTCCATTATCCCAATATAACCCCAATATAACCCTGAACCCTGAACCCTGAATAGTATGAGTTACACCCCAAACCCAAAAGCTGGAGCATCGCCTGTCTGGGCGCCGCCGCCGGCACCCTTCGTCCGGTCAGCGCTGCTCCATATTGGGCCACGCCAGACTAGGACCGGCAACCCTGAAGTTATTGGTGCTTAGTCGGGAATGGAAAAGAGAAATCGTAGTGTTTGGGCTTTGGGTACCAGTGCTGGGCAGTATGGAATGAAGGCATGAATGCAAGGATTGTTATAGGGATTATACCTTACTAACCACCAATGATCGGGAAAATCTTTAAATCCTTGCAATCAGGCGCGAAGCCATAGGATAAGCCCTTGTGACAACTGCGTGCAGAGTTCGGGTTAGCTTCGCATCCATGCATCAGGTCTGAGGGCTCGAACGTGCATCTGCTTAGCTAGGAGTGCGGGGATGGCTCAAACAAATGATACTTGCGAACACCCTTATAATCCCCATGCCCATCTTTAATACCCCAGCTGAGCGTGAATTAGTATGAAGGTCTTCCCATGAACATCTTGAGCTGTCCTACGGTGATCCAAAGTGGCTGCATAGCCCATCGCTGCAGCGCGCAAAGTCAGCGGAAGACGCTGCTGGCGTGCTGCTTGCAGCCACTACCGTCACTACAGTACACCTCGGCAGCGGTGTTAAGCGCCTGCAGTGAAAATCATTATCCGGGAGCTGGCACAGATGCGTCACGATGTCGACGCTTGTGCACCATCCCAAGCCTATGAAGCTTAATGTACATTTCGAGCGATAAGCCCGATGTTGAAACTGCTGCGCCGAGTTGCTGCCCCAGTCTGCAAAGCAGATGGGACAGCGCAGATTTACAATAATGCATCGTGCCATCTGGCGTTGTGGCTGGGGAGATTAAGGTTTAGGGAGAAGGGTTTAGGGATTCGAGTTTGGGGATTCGGGCTTAGGAAATAGGGTTCACTGCTGTGGTTATTTTGGTCTGATCAAACCCCATAAGCGGGCCGAGTTTCAAATGGCACGAGCCTACGACTAATTCGCAGGTGAAAGTGCGACGCTTGTCTAACGAGCCCTCGCGAGCTCCCAGGGCCTTAGGATTAACTGCCGAGCTCCCACTGCCAGTCTGCAGAAGAGTGGTGCTAGCATGGCAGTAACTGAGGCAGCAACCTACTTTTGAAGCGCAGAATAAACCTCCAGACAGAGGAGGCAAGTGTCTCACACAATGGCTCTCCCTCTTAGATGCTTGGGCGGAATTAGTAAGCAGACTTACATTCATCAAAAGCCCCATGACCCCTAAAAGCCCAAGATCTTTAACTCTAAACCCTAAACCCTAAACCCTAAACCCCCTAAACCTACTTGATAAGTCCTCTCGAGCATCCAAGACTAGGATGGCTGAGCTGCCCGCCACCGCAAGCAACACAGCAAGAGCGAAGATGTTTAATGCCTCAGGGGCCCTAGGGTTTAGGGTTTAGGGTTTAGGGTTGTCTGGGGGCCCTAAAACTACTATATTATAATAGGGTATATGTTGGGATTATATAGGGGTTATATTGGGATAATGGATAATAAAATGGAAACTACTATAGTATAATTAATAGGGTATGTACTGGGGTTATAGTGGTCTGGTTTGGGCTCAGCATTCAGGGGTTTAACAACTTGCCACTTCTAGATTCCAAATATGGGTGATGACCTGCTTTTTGCAGGTCGATCTGGTGCAGCCTTCAAAAAGGCCACACGTGCTTGCATCACCGACAAGCCAAGACTTCCGAAAAACTAGCGGGCCCTTTTAGAGAGTTCCCCGGAACAAATATATGACAGTTTCTACAATGAGAGGGACCCCAATATACCCCAACGTACTATCAGCCTTATTATTTCGGGCCCATCATGAGGAATTGTATGGGGAGGGCCATCAGAGATGTCTGGGCTCCAGACCGCAAGAAGAGCCCACACTTGGAACCCAACCCTAAACCCTAAACCCTAGGAGTTTCCTGTAGAATTAAGACTGTGAGTAGGGAATACGGGAATATATTGTAGAAGGATTACACTCCCGGAAACTAACATGGAAACCCAAAAAGGGCCCTGTAACACTACAGTCCCTCCAAAATGCAACTATATGGGTTTCCATGTTAGTTTGGGGGGGCGTACATAGGGATGCTATTCCCTTACTCCCTACTCACACGCAGTAAGACAAAGAACTTCTAATCTTGAAACACTCCTCACATTGCTTCGCCTTAAACCCTTAACCCTAAATAGCATTGCATTTTTCATTTTTTTCCATTATCCCAATATGACCCCTATATACCTCATTATAATATAATGATTTTCATGATTTTTCCATGAATTCAATATAAACCCTAAACCTTAAACCCATAACCCCCTAAGATTGACTCAGGCAGCCGCATAAAGTCTTTGCACCTCAGTTCCAATGTCAAGGTCCAGGGACGAAGCCACAGCCTGGGCATCACTTTTACGCGGTTTAGGGTTTAGGGTTTCGGGTTTAGGGATCACTATTTTCAGGTTTTCACCGTGGTGGGAAGAGCATTATTGTTCTTGTTATTACTAGCACTAGTATTGTTATTTTTCTTATTACTATTACATCTATTATTGTTATCACATATTAGTATGATATCAATTGTTATGATTAGCGCTATTCTTGTTATTCTTATTACTATTGTTGTTATCATTACTGTTGTCATTGTTATTCTTGTTTCTATTATCAGACATCTCTGGCAGTTCATCCCAATATGGCCCAGACCATGACGGGTTCCAGCATGGTGACGAAGCCACCATACAATGTCTGCCTGGCAAGGCCACGAGATCTAAACCTATTATATATCATGATATCCCATAATATCCCATAATACCCCATAATATCCCATAATGTCCCATAATGTCCTAATAATATACAAGCATTGTTTCTGCCTCCGCAGTTTCAGAGTGTTGCCTAAATTACTGTTGCGAAGGGACGAAAGCCACCTAGAAACCCAACATTTGGGCCAAACAAAGCCAACGGGGAGTTTCTGATAGATAGCCCTCACAAAGC